TGGGGAAAGGAGGTAAGACAGCCACCACCCCCCCCCCAGGTGAGGGGTCCCCCACTGGAGCAGCAAGAGGGGCCCTTTCCCACCCCTTGGGCTTTGTTACCTGACAGCGTGGCCTTACAGACGGGGGTTGGGCCGCCCAGCGGGGACCGTCTGCAAAGAAATGGGGCTCCAACATCAGCCTGTGTGCCCCCAGATTCCTGCCTCCCCTCTCTATAATGCCACCTTTCCTTTTTCTGAGCGCTCCCTGTGTCCCACGCATGCCACCATGTGCTCAGCCTGCAGCCTCTCTCAGAGCCCCCGTGAGAACCCATTTTACAGATGAGAAAACGGAAGCGAACAGGCTTGCTCAAGACCACACAGCTGATCAGCGGCAGGGTCAGGTCCTATGCCTCCAAAGTTCCTGCAACTCCCAGAGGGACTAGCAGCTCCCAGCCAAGCGCCTGCCCCCAAATAATCACTTCTATTTAGTGAGCACTTACTATGCGCTGGGCAAATGTTCTCACACTTTCCATGTATTATCTTCCAGACTCCTCACAGCAGCATCTATTGGAGGCGCTATTAAATTCCCATTTTATGGAGGGGGAACAAAGGCACCACAAGACGCTATTTGCCTGGAAAGTTGGCTTTGGGGCCGGGAGTGGCCCCAAGGCTGCGGCGCCTGGCTACCCTTGGCCTCACCACCACGTGTCTGGACCCCTTGGTCTTTATTTTTAAAAGTTTGTGTCTTAGCCATTCAAATTGCAATGGTTTGCTGGCTCAGAGGGAGCTGCTGCCTGAACAGAGGCTCAGAGAGGTCAAGTTCCTGCCTGAGGGCACACAGCAGAGCTAAGAGTTGAACCCAGGTGTGCCTGGCCTCATGATCATGAATGTTGGGGCCCAGCCTTGACTTACTTGTTGCTGGGAATGGGCACATTGGTCAGGAGTGAGAAGTTGCTTCGAACGCTCCGGAGACTGGCCAGCACCTGGGACGGAGGGAGAGCCAGCGGTGAGGAGAGGGAGCCACCCGGAGAGGCTGGGGCTAGGTCCCTGTCCCCAAGTGTGGGGGAAGGTTGGAGCCCCTTCCTTTCTTAGGGGAGGGGTCTTACCTGGGCGAAAGGTGTCACAATGAGGTCCTCAGCGTGCCTGCAACCAAGGACAGGGGCAGGTCAGGCGTCCTCACTGTGGGACACCCCCGGGCCTGGGTGAAAAGGGGCTGGGGTGCCAGAGAAGCAACTCTCTATGGGGGTTGGGCTGAGGGTAGGCTGGGAGGTTGGGCGGGGGGAGCCTCCAACAGGTGAGGGGAGAGGGCGCTTACACCTCCCAAGGGTAGACACCCTACAGGGGCTGGTCTTGGAGGGACCGGTGGCCGGACAGAGGAGCTCAGGTGGGTGGGCAGGGAGGGG